AGACAAGAAACACAGTGCCAGACAGGAGAAACCTCCCTTCGAGTTGTTGGTCAGAGTAGTCCAAGAGACTCCCCAAATGACCCAGGCTATTGCCACAGCCCTTTATTGTATTCCAGAACTTGAAGGTAAGACCCTGTTGCTGAAACAGGACATCTTTCGGACACAGGACTTGGAGCAATCAAGCTGACACTGACCTGGAACTGGAGTTACAGATAGTTGTTAGCGGCCATAGCTCTTAATCTGCTGAGCCACCTTTCCAGCCCCACTGCTTCCATTCTTGAACCCCCCTTTCCTATTCTCAACCAAAACACAAAGGGCTCTTTTAACCTATTAATCTATCACCATTTTGTTCAAAATTCTCCAGTAATTATGCATTTTTTTCTCAGAACTAGAACTAAAGAGTTTTCATGATTTATAGGGCTTTTTCCCAAAGTGACTCTGTTAGTTCTCTGGCCTAGTTTCCCAATCTTACCTGCTTCCCTTCAAATGCTGTGGCCCCCTGGCTTCCTGGGAGCACTGTAGCCTCAGGGACTTTGAGCTGCCTTCCCAACTGAAGGAACACTCACCGAGACATTTGCTGGGCCATCTGGGGAAACATGAAATTATTCTTTCCTATTTTCATGTGTCGTTGCTATTTAGTATCACAAATATGCACACCTTTCTTTGGATTCCAATTTTTCTTTTAAATAAACATAGTTTTTTAAGGGTGTAATGCTGGATAAGTAAACCAGGCTCCAGTGGGAGGACCTACATCAAAGGGTATTTGTAGACACAAATTTGATAAGCCTTAATATATATTATATAGTATAGATACATATATCAGAGTATATGACTCTAATATATCAGAGTATCAGATATCAGAATATATGACTCAGTTGGAAAATATTAAGTTGGGAGCAGATGGGGGAGGGGGTCTAAATATGATAAAATATATTGCATGCAATTCACAAAAATTCAGTAAAAGAAGTCATTGAAAATTTGAAATACAATGTATTTTGAACTTGCTCAGACCCCCTCCCCTATTTGCACTCCCTTTCTACTTCCTACCCAATTTCATATCCTTCATTATTATTTTTTTTTAAATTGATGATAGATGGTTTATTCTGGGGCTCAATTTGAGTGACATGGCTCTGGAACAGAGTAGGTTTTCCCAAGTGCCATGGGGCACTGAGGAAGTGGTTGCATGAGGTTTTATTAAGTTGCACAAGAAAATCATAAATCAAGGCATTTACCAAAACCTGAGTGGGGACCACATACTAGCAGGTCACAGAAAAGTGAGGTTTCAAGTGTTCCTGGATGACACCTTTAGTTTAGGACTGTGGAGGCTAGTGTTCTACAAATACATTGCAAAAGTTCTGAGAGTCACAGGATGTTAGGTTAGAGACACGATAGGCAACGAATGGTTTTCAAAGGGACTGAAAATAGCCCAAGATAATTTTGCCCTGGTCTATACATTTTAACTGTCCTTTAATCACAAACTTGAGCCTTTTGGTTTTGTAGAATCTTTAACCAAAGTGTGGATTTTTTTTCTGGAAACTTCAGTTCACAGCCTTTCAGGTTGGGTCAAACAGATACTTCAAGGAGTTTAGTGTACAAGGAAACCCCATACAGTGTAATTCGGGCAGGCAGGGTGTCTACATTCAGATAGGGACATCCACATCTTGATCCTTCCTAGACCGCTGTTGGTGATGATGCCTCTCATAACACAGCCCCATCAGAAGACCTGAAATCTAGCTGTAGTGTGAATATTTTATCACTGGGTTTTGAAATATCTTGTTTTCTTACAAGTCTTCATTTGCTTCAAATGGTACACTTGGGCTGGTAAAACTGAGCAACAAAGACTTGTGTGTGTTTAACTATTCTCACAGGTCTGACAGAGATCCAAAGTTACACCCCAATGTACTGTGTACAGAAAGGGTCCACATCCCTGGTCTCATGTGGCAGAGGGCAGGGAGAGAAGGAAGTCAGTTTACAAGTCCTTTCGAATATAGACACTAATCCTCCTGAGGTCTCTGCTGTCACTTTTTTTTTTAACTTTTATAAAAACTTTATTGAGAATTTCATACATGCATATAAGGCATTTTGATCAAACCCATGCCCCCGCTCTCCCCTCCAAAATTCCCCCGTCTGAAGAGGTAATCCTAAAATCTTTTAAGGATTAGATACAAGCTCCCAAAACATTCCCCCGTCTGAAGAGGTAGTCCTAAAATCTTTTAAGGATTAGATACAAGCTCCCAAATACTTTTGACACTTTGGCCTTTGGAACAGAGTATGCTGCCAACAGGCCCAAGGACATTTTGACTTTTAGCCAAGAAACTGGCTATATTTCTTTGGGGTCTTTTTACCCTAATTGCCTACTCAATTCCTGCCTCCTATTCTTATCGTGCCATCCTCTGAAGGGGTTACCCAAATTACCAATAGGGAATAGGGACACAGACCCCTCTGGCTTCTTCCATGCTGAACAGGGACGCAGGGTGAGGCAACTGGAGTACCCCTTCAGTGGGTCTGTCTAAGAGACTCCCAAATTGCATAACTCTTGTCCCTAAGGGGAAAAAGAAAGTCCTGGAATTGAGACTAGGAAATGTGAAGGAGAAGTAAAGGCAAGAGTAATTAGCATTACAAGTTCTAGACAGGGAACTAGAAAAAAGTCAGAACAGGGCAATTTTCAAATACTCATATGAGAGTCCATTTTTAAAGGCCCATCCATTATAATTTGGCCCCCAAATGTACTCTGATGTGGGCCCATCCCTGAGAGCCTGGTCAACTACCAAGCATCTGACTCTACCGGTAGTGATTAGGCGCCAGTAGTTCCTTAGCTAGGGTTGGTTGTTGTCACAGTTGTGAAATCATATGAGTAGCTGCACTGCTGTCTGGAAAACTGTTTCCGTGTGGTCCTCCACTACCTCTGGCTCTTACAGTCTTTCCACTCCTTCTGATGTAGTGATCCCCAACCTTTTGGAGGCAAAGGTTTGACAAGAGGTGTCCCATTCAAAGCTAATCAGCTTGCATATTAGTCTTTAATACTTAGTTACTTCAAAAATATGGCATAGTTTATATATTATTGTCTTTATTGTTTTGTTTTTTCTTTAGTGATAGGGCCTCAAAAATATGGCCTTGAACTTGTATGAACTTGTATGCTAAAGATGGCTTGGAATTCCAGTCTTCTGCCTTTACTTCCAGAGTGCTAGGATTACAGGGACACTCCACCATCCCCAGTTTATGTGGTACTAGAAACTGAACCCAGGGCTTTGGGCATGTGAGGCAAGCACTCTACCAACTGAGATGCATGCCCAAGCCCTTCTCTTTCTTCATTGATAGACTTAACTTCATTAAGCTTCATATGCCCCGAGGAATCTTTGCTCATGGGCACTTGCCCTGAATCTAGAACACTATTGGGCGCACAAAAAGGTACTTTATACAGAATGCTGCTGAGGGTATAAAGGATGAGCTACATGAATTAATAGGAAATTCTTGCTTTCTTTTTTAGATGCAAAACAGCTTTGGGATGAACATTGCCAGTGCTACAATTGCCTTTGTGGGGACGGCTTTCCTCTCAGTTCATTTAGCACTCAATAACCAGGCATCCAAGGGCTGCCATTCTTCACAGTCTCCAGACTTATGCATTTACATGGGTTCTTCATCAAGTGTATGTTTTAAATTATTAATAAAATAGTTCAAACAATTCAAAATATACAGAAAAACAATATGTTATATACTATGTTACCTTGACTTTCCCTTTAGTTTTAGGATGAGGAAACCATTAGATAACCACTCTACCACTGTTGTTGAAAACATCTGTATCAAACTTCTGCCTCACAAAGTTCAGAGACCATTGTGGAAGAGGGGGCAGAAAGAGTGTAAGAACCAGTGGTAGTAGATGACCACAAGGAAACAGTTTTCAGACAGCTGGGCAGTGACTTATAAACTCATAGCAATGCTAACAGCATGTAGAGAAGTCCCACATAATCTCGAGTCAGACAAAATCCAAGTATAGAAGTGGGGAAGTGGATAGGAGACCCCAACACTTGCTGAGGAACTATTGGTTATATATATAATAAAGGGGGCTTCCCTCAGGCTTGCTATGTAGGCAAGAATTACCTTGAACTTCTGATCATTCTTCCTCCACCACTTGAGTGCTGGGGTTATAGGTATGTACCACCATGACTGTTTATGTGAAACTGGATATTGAACCCAGGGCTTTGTACATGTACTAGGCAACACTCCACCAACTGAGCTATATCTCTGGCCCCCATTATTGTACATTTTTAATCACCTAAATTTATATTTATCTGTCTGGGTTTTGTGGATTTAATGGTATTGTCATTACATGAAAATTTGATCATTTGATCTTGTATTTATTCTGGGTGCTTCAGTAACAATGGAAGGGTTATTATAGTGGTATTTTAGGCTCATATTAGCATTGCATTTTAGTTTCTATGGATAATGTGAATTCCTAAAACACTATAAAATACTATTGATAGAATCATTGAGGGGTCATTTTTGTCCATTTTCCTAAGATGTCTATTTATGTCCTTGGTATGTTAAACTAATCAATAAGCATTAGTGATAATGCCAGATATTTTTCCTATGGTTCTCTCCCACCCCCTGACTAGTTCACATAGACTGATATAGCACATATATCTTTCTCTATAAGGCAATGTTTTCATGGTTTTTTGATCCATATTGGATTCCTTTTTCAGAGTTTGTGTGTCTGCACTTTCACTCTGATTGATTCACTTTATTCCATCCTGAGGGAAAGGGAAGCCGTAGTTTGGTTTCCTGCTGATATTTAATCTGAGGCATCATTTTCCTAGGGCCTGGTGTCTCTGATGCTGATCCTCACCTTGCTGGAACTGGGCATATCCATCTGCATCTCAATCATGTGGTGTCAAGGAAACTTCTGTGGTTCAAGAGAGGTAGGTTTGCTTGAATGGTGAATTAATTATATGATCTACAATCTTTCCTGGAGTTTCAAGTTGTTTCTGATTCTTAGAATGGGAAAGAAACTTTTACACGGTAATAATTTGTGGGGTTCTGGGAGTTAGCAGTTAGATCAATGTATAAGATGGGATGAAGGCTGGAAAAGAATTCAGATTTGAAAACGCAAACAACATATGAATATACATTTTAATGAAGCTGAAATTAATTTTTAATGATTTTCATGTAATGTCATTGTTTTCTATCTGTATGACACAGAATAACCACATATTCTTGCTATGTATTTAGGTATTAAAATTTATCTACTTGCAACTCCTTTTTGCCCAATTTTTACATGGCCCCAGGTACATAAGTACACAAAATAGGTGTACAGGTCAAAAATTTACTGATAAATTATAAAGAAATGTATTTTAAACAATTTTTGATATATATAATTTTACCATTTATTAAACACAAAAGCAAATTTGTATACTAATGAAGTGAATGTGCTCATTTATTTTTCTATAATTCTATCTTGACCGAATATTAGATGCCAGAGGATGCAGTACATCTTCAATGTTTTTGAGAGATGATTGATATTATGATTTTATTATTGTCAATGCTGAGGATGCTGCTTTGCAAAAAAAAACATAGCACAAAATGGCAGAAGTGTGGTTTGTGTGTTTAGGACCATTTCAGAAAATGCTGGAAATTCTGTCAAAATTTCAAGCCAAAATTCATTTAAAAATATTTTATGAAACTCAAACCAACAACTCAAACAACAATTTTTAAGTATCTGTGGTAGTGACCTTGATGGTGATAGGAAGGGAAGAAAGGGAGATACAATCAAATCCTTGAAAACCGATGTCTCATTTTCCAGGCAATTTCTTCACCTCCTGAGTCTGTGGAATCAGGAATGCCTCCTGAAGAAAGTAATCCTGAGGATATGCACAGCCAGCCCCAAATCACCAAAGAGTGAAGAGTGTCATCCAAGAACTCAGAAGGAATGAAGTGGTGAAATGCAATTGGTCACAGTACCAGTCACGAGAAAGCTGGGCATCTGTCTCAATCCTTCCTCCCCTCGCTGGAAATCCATTAGCATGGGCTGGATGTGGATGAATAAATACATTCCGATAGGCATTTTTAGATTTGCCACTTTTGTGGTCACTACTTCAAAGCTGTTTCCAGACATTGGCTTTCTTTCTCCTTTCTCTCCTATGCCATTGCATTGTGAGGTGTAAGGATGGAAGATTATATAATCTGTATTTTTCTTTTTAGAGACAGGATCTCATGTAGCCTAGCCTGGCCTCCAACTCCCTGATTATCCAAGTTTAACTTTGACCTCCTGATCCTCCTGCCTCAGCCTCTCAAGTGCTCAAATTACAGCTGAAATCCTCTAGCTATTAGGGATAATGACTTATGGTCACAGAAGAATTAAAGTAAAGGTCACACAAGAGGACTTCAGAAAATAGAAATCAACTTTAATTTAACCACGTCCAAAATTGGAATTATACTTAGAAGTCTCACAAGTACATGAATTTGTGTGTGTGTTTATGTTTATTTGTGTATGTATGTGTTTATTTGTGTATGTGTAAGGCACTATATGCCTTATTTTTTTTAATACAGGTCTCACTGGGGTGTAGGGCTCCCCAATTAGGCTAGGCTCACTGGCCATGAGCTCCAGGGATCTGTCTGTCTCTACTTCCCCATTTCTGGGATTACCAAGGTGTGCTAGCATGCTAGACATTCTTTTTTTAAATGTGGGTTCTGCTGTGGTCCCCTCGCATGAGCCTCGAGCTGTGGACCTGGGAACCTAGGTCCTGATGTTGGAGCTTTCCCACTCTCAGCCACCAAGAGGTTTTCCCTCATTTTTCTATTACTCTTCTATAGCCCCAGTGTGCCTTCACCTGTGCCATACAGAAAATGTGAAGCACCTAATTGAACTTCTAGAAATTAAAAAAAGAATATTAGAAAACTAAGCAAAAAACTCTATAGAAATAAAGAAAAAACCCCAACAATAACGAAAGAATCATTAGGGCTTGGGAGCAGTGCTTGGTAATTCTTACATATATAGAGTAATGATCTGTGTTGTAGTGGGAATATAAGGATATAATTTTATAAATTGTTCATAAGCTAAATACGTTGCACTTTTTTATTGCTGAAATTATATCCTTTCTACATTTTACTGTTCAGATGCCTATTACAAAATGAAGGAATCAGAAGATGGTAAATCCTGCCTTTTGTATGTAATCAATCATTTGGGAAAATAAGAGTGACCCTGATGTTCCTGACTACACACACACACACACACACACACACACACACACACACACATTAAAAAAAAACCTAAGCAGGGGACAGGAGAGATGGCTCAGAGGTTAAGAACACTGAATACTCTTGCAGAAGACCCAGGTTCGAATCTCAGCACCCACATGGCAGCTAGCAACTGTCCGTAACTCCAGTTCCAGGGGATCTGACAGCCTCTTCTGTCCTCCGCTGGCATTGCATGACTTGGGTGCACTTACCTACACGCAGGCAATACATGCATACACATAAAAAATAATAAAATATTTTTAAAAAACCTAAGCAAAAACAACAAAAAAAGTGGGTTCTGAGCATCAAACTACTCAGGTCCTCAGGCTGGCATGGCAAACAATTTATAGAATTAGCTATTTCTAGCAGTCAATTTAATATTTTAGCATTATTTATGCATTTTATATTTTATGCTACAAAACTTTCCTTTTTCAAGCCTTAGATAATATTTTACTTTTTATTATTACACTGAAAGATTTTATGTTATGAGCTTTATTTTTTTCCATAGACAGTGTATTAGTCAGGGTTCTCCAAAGAAACAGAACTGGTAGAATGAATATATGTGTATAGAGATTTATCAGCTTAGCTCACGAGATAGAGTCCAAGTAGTCCAACAGTGGCTGCACCACACTGGAGAGGCTGAGAACCCATAGTCACTCAGTCCATGAGGCTGGATGTCTCAGTAGTCCCAATCTGGGGTTGAAGGTCTGATGATTTCCAAAAGATCAGCTAGTCTTCAGTCTACAGCAGCAATACAAATTCACCAGTGAGAGAAAGCAAGCAGCAAAAAGCAAAGCATTCTCCTCTGCCATGGCCTTTTATACAGGCTGCCATCAGAAGGTAACACCCACATTTAGGGTGTGTCAACCAGCTTCAGATGATCCAATTAAGAAGTTAATTTCAGTTAATCCCAAATCCAGTCAAGTTGACACCCAGGATTAGCCATCACAGACAGTGATGTTATTGTATTGTTATCATCATCATCCTTTTGGAAAACTAAAAATTACAGACCTTTTTATTAAAAAGTCACCATATTCAGATTCACAATTGTACACACATCTGTTCAGGAACTTCCTAGTCCAACATTCTTTCCTGTTGAAATAACACATTGTTGTAGGTGAATAACATAAGTGTTATTTTTCTCATTATCTAGGATAGATTTTCCCTGCATATGGACTATGCATGGATATTTACATCTCTATCTTAAAATAATTTATTAACAATCCAGGTATATTTGGCAATTTTGATTCAAAATCAAAATTTTAATGTCTTTTATTTATTCTTTGAAAATTTCCTACATGTGTACAAAGCATCTTGATCATACCCACTCCAGCTTCCCCCTCCTACTCCTTCTGGACAACCCTCAACATGTCCCCTTACCAGCTTCATATTCACTCATTCATTCGTCCTTCCCTCCCTCCCTCCCTACATACTCGCTGAAACCCCATTCACTGAGTCCATTTAGTGCTGCCTATTGGAATGTTGGCTGGTCTTGTTTACCTGACCTTGTGCAGGCCTTATGTCGATAACCACAGCTGCTGTGAATTCATGCAAGCAACAGCCATGCCATGTCCAGAACACAGTATTTCACAGCTCTCCTCCCCATCCTCTTGCTCCCATGCTCTTTCTATTCCCTCTTCTGAGATGTGCTTTGAACCTTAGAGTGGGATATAATAATTAAATTGATGGGACCTAACATCTTATTTTTATAGCATAATTTTGAAGTAGTGCTTTTAAGGAAGTAAAGTTAAATGAGGTCACAAGAACCTTATTTCAAGTCATATATATTT